ATTTAGTTCATACAGAAAAATAAAAAACAAATGTGAACAAGAATACACCCGGAAAGTCAACTGAGCTAATTAAATATCTGAAACATTTGTTCAATATACCAACCTTGTAGCCCATAATTGCAGATTACAGATATTTGGAGTCACTTAGAAAAAACCAGACACTTTGAATAGAATATCCAAAAATCCTGTGGAAATGTACGTGTACATGCAACTAAATATTTTTTCCAATTTCATTTAAAGTAAATTTTATTTAAATTTTCCAAATTAATTGAAACCTTTCAATTTGTTATATACTATGTAACTTGGCTAAAAATCTTATGAGATATCTTGTTAATTATTGTATTGAATGACTCTGGTTGTCAATAACAACAAATTCTTTGCTTTGTGTTACATTGTGAAAGATTATATTTACGTCAAGTTGATGATATAATCTTTAATAATAAAAATAGAAACACTATATTTTCTCAGTGCTAAGGTGCCTTTTCTCTTTCACAGTTTCACTTTTTTTGAAATTGAGATGCACCTTGTAATTGATATAAATATTAATGTAGGTCATGAGGCAATAATTTCTTGTAACATAGGAAATGTGGCATGGAATAAGCCTTTAGTCTGTGTTAGGTGCTGTACTTGGCTTCAAAATAGTATGAAGTGAGGCAAAGAGCATTGGGTTTAGAGATATAACCAATTTCTGCAACTAGACACATCGCTAAGATTAAAAAGCAAAAATCTTGAACTAGCAAATAATATTTTTCATAAGCTGGAATTTTGGAGAGGCTACAATGATGACAATTGGTATAAGTAAAAACTCAAGGCTGGCATCGTTGTCTGTTTGGTTCATGGTTATAGCCCTCGAATCTAGTATAACACGTGGCATGTAATAGAGGCTGAAAGAATAAACGTTAAATGAATATGTGAGCTGCTCAGGATTTATAAACATCTAAATATTTGAGTCAAATTAGATAAAAGCGATAAATATAGTTCTTATTTTGTACCAGGCCAAGTTCTAGTTGCCTTCCTCATATGAAGTCATTTAAACTCGTCAACCTTATGAAGTAGATGCTGTTTTTTTCCCCGTTTGAAAACTTTTTTCCTATTTTGCACTTCTAAATAAATAATAAAATTAATATAATAATATTTAACTACCTTTAAGGGACTAGTCATTCAACCTGTTGGACATGATATAGATCAGGTTAAGCAAGAGTTGATGAACAAAATCAAAGGGGTATTAATTTGGAGATTACATGTTAAAAATAGGATAAGAACCCACATATAACACACAAAATCAAAGTGTAAGAATTGCCATATAGATAGTAGTATCTTTACAATAAGCTCATTATGAAATAATGTCTTTGGCAAACAATTATATAAATACACCCAAAAAAATTTATGAATAATGACTCCATTTAAACAGAGCTTATGCTTTTGTTTCTTATTATGATATATTTTCTATGCAATTTCCAAGAATTAAATGAAATTATTCAATAACTCACCTTCCATTTTGATGAGTGTCGACAAATAAGACCCAAGTTAGTTTTTGAATAACATATGCTGATGGTAATCTTGATTAATGAAAGGTTTGGATTTAGAACATCTTTTCTGGGGCCGGCCTGGTGGTGCAGCGGTTAAGTGCGCACGTCCACTTCGGAAGCCTGAGGTACGCCGGCTGGGATCCCGGGTGCGGACATGGCACCGCTTGGCAAAAGCCATGCTGTGGTAGGTGTCCCACATATAAAGTAGAGGAAGATGGGCATGGATATTAGCTCAGCCCAGTCTTCCTCAGCAAAAAGAGGAGGATTGGCAGCAGTTAGCTCAGGGCTAATCTTCCTCAAAAAAAAAAAGAACATCTTTTCTTACACCCAAAATGCAATCATAAGGCATTATGATTAGACATTGTAGTAAATGCAAAATCAATATCATTAACAAAGCCACAGTGGGGATATGTGGACAGGTTTTGTTTATTGTTCCCTAGTCAGCTTCTTGATGAATCAACCTCATAGTCTCTGTCAGTTTCCAAACATTCTAGACAGGTGACGAAACACTGACCACCTCAGGTTCCCAGAACATTCTGCTGTAGGCCAGGCCAGACCAGATCAGAGCAGAACAGCAGGCTCTCCTTAGACTTCTTAACATAAAGATAATAGATTCTTAGAGTGCCATCAGAGCCTTTAGCGCATGGTGAAGTTGAGCAAGATTTTGTTCTCAAGTACAGCCCGTGAGAATGAGGAAGAGGAAACTTATCTCTGAAGAGAGAATAATCCCATATACTTGGCTTGTACCAGAACTGGGTGAACAATTGATCAGAGGAGTAATTTAGAAGAAAAGATAAGTACATAGGAATTAGAGTCAAAAGATTGATGTTCAAATGTCAACTTAACCACTTATTAGTAGTGTGAGACTTTAGATGTCTATCTTTTCAGATAGTGATTCTCTTACCTGTAAAATTTGATTAAGAAGACCAATTGTGAAGATGCTTTTTGAGAATTAAATAAGAAAATATCTGAAAAGCGTTTAATATAGAGCCTATACATAGTAGATGACAAAAACTTTTGAGATGAGTCTTGAAAGCATTGTGTTACACTTTAAAAGTTTAGTTTATATGTCATATGAGCTTCTCTTTTCCTACTTTTTAATTTTTATATTTTTTCTCTGAATTTTTGCAGATGACCAAGGACATGAACCAAATGCAACATACACAAAAACAAATAAGCAATGAAGTTTATGAGAAAAGAAGGTTGAAGAACAATACACCTTTTCTACCACAGCAATGCTATTGTACATAAGTGCTAATGATTTACCACTGACCCAATTTATTATCTAGCATTAGAACCACCTTTCTTTTCAAAAGTATAACATGCGCTATGATGTGTCTTATGTTACTTCTTCCTAGGTCTTAATTTGTCTGATTGGCCTATTGGCACATTTACTGATCAAAATCTATAGTTTTTATTTCAGTTAAAGGTACTACTGAGGTTCAGGTTCTCACAGAAAATGAATCTGTACCTACATAGTCATGCTGCAGTGGCAGACGACAGCTCCCTCTACTGACCAACAGTGTAAAGGAAAGCACGCATATCTGATCCTACCTCTAAAAGCATTAAGAACTTACTTATCTTGTGGGTCTATAAGTGGAATGATATCTAGACAAATACACACATATATGCATGCATGCAAACATACACAAAAACACAGGTTATCCACATTTTCGCTCCTGCCCCAATATACATAAGCCTGACAAATGCTGAGGATAGGCAAGGAGAGTTGATACAATTGAAAGGCATCCTCTTTTTGTATATAGGAGCACAATCCGGGTAAACTACTGTGAGTATTTAATAACAACCACGTAAATCTGCATCTCAGTTACCACGACTAGATTTTAATTTCATCCAGGTATTAAGAACTCAAGAATCAATAATGTCTGCATTAACTTGAAGTGCAACTAAGTTTTTTTTCATAATATTCATTAGTTTCTAACTGTTTCAGACTCTTTTTAATTTATTGAACTAATCAACTAATATTTTTCAGTTATCTACTCTGGGCCAGGCAAGATGCTAAGTATTGGGGATGCAGCAATGAGCCAACGAAGCAAAAACTCTTCCTTCATGGATATTATATTCTAGTGGGGAGAGATAAATGTTCATGTTAATTCATACACAGTTTCTAAAGTCGTCCATGTATAAAAACATTTCAAATAAGTAAAAGTGAGTTATAATCATTCCCTCAATGATTAATGATTTCATAAAAAGTACAAAAAGTTTACTCTAAAAATTTCTGGGCCTTTTCAAAATGGGAAAAACCCTTCAAGTCCAGAACTTGGCCCAACTTGTCTTTCCATCTGCTCCCTCACTATCCTGAACTATACACAGCTGCAGGGTGGGATGCGTTCCTCTGGAAGGATACAGCCAGAATTGCCCCTCGTTGCCTCAGAAAGTTTTGGAATTGGAAGTGTGGGGGCGTTTAGGCCCTGAGGTGAGTGGCAGGGGCAAATGTTGCTCTTGGATCTCTTGGCGAGGAACGAATGTCACCTGCTCCTAAGAGCCTTTCTCTCCCTCAGGAAGTCTGGGTGGTGGGCCACGTCCCCACGCCTCAGCTGACCCTAACGAAAATGGGGAGCAGTCCACCCTTCCCCTTCCTCTACCTTTCCTGGAGCAGAAGGGAGGAGAGAACTCGCAGCTCTGAAAAGGACCAGAGATAGGAATATTTTCCTGAAAACCGTAACTTACCTTCATTTAGAAAACGTTGCTGATTCCTGAGTATCTCACAGGTGAGCAGTCAGTGCAGGTGTGTGTATGGATGGGTTTTGCGATTGTGGACACTGGAGTGGCCAGGGCAGGGTCCAGGAACTGGGTGGGTCCCGCCGAAGAATCTGTTATATGTGGGGTGTTAATCTGTCTGGAAGGCACATTCTGAGCTCAACAATGAGGTCTCCCTGCATGTGAGGACACCTCAAGGAATGGGCAGAGCCGCTCCCGAGGGAAACTTCCTCAGGACGCCCAGCTTGGTAGAATTATTGCAAGACCAAGAGATCACCTGGCTATCACTTGTAGGAATGGTCAGCGGGCAGCCACCCAGAATTTAGGGCAAAAGGAGACAACAAGTAGGGAAAAAGGAATGGTGGAGTGAGTGGAAAAGGAAGGAAAAAATGAGGAGGGGAAGAATGACCTTATCATCACTCCTCATGATCCCTGAGGGTCACTTCGAGCTCAAAATGTCCCTTCCAGACAGATTAACACCCCACATCCTGGCCATCCACTCCACCCAGCACTTACCTTACCTAGGCCTCACCTCCTGGAGCCTAATCAGGGCTGGGGGGAGCACAATGATACCACTGCAGCTAAGAGAACTTGGGATAGTCTTCGAGATTGAAGACAGTATCTCCAGGAATGTTGTCAAGGAGGTTGTCCTCTCATCTGCTGCCTGCCTTCCCAGCCATGCTGCATCTTACACCAAGGTTACAGTAATTTAGGGGTGTGTTAGTTACTATATAACAAATACCCCAAAAGTTAGTGGCTTAAAAAACCAAGTATTTATTAATTCATAGTTTCTGTTGGTGAGGAATGTAGGCAAGGCCTACCTGGGTTCTCTGCTCCAAGGTCTCTCACAAGGCTGCAATTAAGGTGTCAGCTGGGGCTGGGGTCTCAGCTGAAGGCTTGACTGGGGAAATACACACTTCTTTGCTCACTTCTACAGTTGCTGGCTGGATGCAGTTCCTCAAGGCCTGTTGGACTGAGAGCCTCAATTCCTGGATGGCTGTTGGCTGGAGTTGGCTGGAGGCAACCTTCAGTTCCTTGTCATGTAGGCCTCTCCAACATGGCAGCTTGCTTCATCAAAGCCAGGAGAGAGTCTGCTAGCAGGACAGAAGTTACAATCTTGTAAACTAATGAGGGAAATGACATCCCATCACCTTTCCCTTATTCTATTAGTCAGAAGCAAATCACGAGGTCCAGTTTACACTCAAGGGGAGCAGTTTATACCAGGGTGTGACTAGCAAAGGAATGGATCTTTGGAACCTTCTTAGAACTCTTCCTAACACAAGGGTTTTTTCTTGGACATCCCACTGAGTTCACTGAAGCAAAAGTGACCAAAGGGACCAAGTGGATCCTTGTGCTCACCCATATCCACGTCATCAAAGCTAAAGCTGTTGAATGGCTAAGGAGAGTAACGTCTGGTAAGAAAAACATCAAAGAGATTGAAGCATCCAAAGAAGGAGGGAAAGGTGGCATGGAGGTAAAGGCGGTGTGGGGTCATCATGAATGGTAAAGTGAAAGGAGCCCTTAGAACCACCTGCCTCACCACTGCCAGTATTCAGACTTAGAGGGGAGGAAAAATTAGGTGCAAGACGGCTCATCCTCGCTCCGCCACCGTATCTCCACTCTGCTCTAGCTGCCGACTATAGGCCTAAAGAAGCAACCTTCAGTTCCCATAGAGATAGCCAGGCTTATAGAGGAAGCAAACCCTACAGCTTGCAAGGTTTAACTTCTGCTCTTATTGATATATTTAATATAGCACATCCGTCATTTCAAATTTGCTTCTCACAGCTTGAACATCAGAGAGAATGAATCACACAATCGATGGCAAAGCCAGTACTAGGGAATTCAGCATGTAGCTCCCATTCTGGGATGTTTTCCATGAACATGGATGTTTTCCATGAACCCATTGCCAAAGAGCTTCTAACCAAGGGAGAGGTGGTGGCTCAAAAGGGCTGACTTACTGGCTGGGGTCACAAAACAAGTCATACCTGGTGCCCAGATATTTGCTTCTATTCAGAGAAACACTGGATGAGGCAACGAGACAGAATTTGCACACTCAGCACATCTAGGCAGTGAACTGTCCAAATGAGGTGACAGTACCACCCAGGAGTGATCCCACACTCTTGTTCTGCTTCTAGTACTGTTTTCCTTTTTCCCAGATTCCAGTTCCTATGGGAAAGCAGGACTCTTACCAAAAGAAGGAAAACATATTAGCTGAACAGTGACTGGAGAGATGAGGATGAATTTCTCTAGAAACAGATTTCATGGGCTTGCTGCTTATACCCAGAGATCAGTGCTGTGCAGCTTGGGGGGTGGGGTGTCATTTACATGATATTCTGTGGCGCCTGAAGAATTTTCAGTGACATAGAATGTGATGTGAATGGGTTACCTGCATTTTTATACCCTCAAGCCCACACTCCAAACCTAACGTCAGGGCGAATAAAATGCATGAATTGACTGGTACCTTGATGTGGCTTGGGTATGGGAACCCCAGATCCCAGCTTCAGGCACTGTGAATTTCTCTGGTACCAGGTGCTGCCTAAGGGAATCAGCTTTCTTGAGGCAGCCTTCACATGGATTAACACTCAGAACTGTGCCCTAATCTGCAGCCACAATGAAGGGGCCCAGGCTATGAGAAGGGGCTCTTCTCTCTCTTTTTTTTTAAAAAAAGATTGGCACCTCAGATAACAACTGTTGCCAATCTTCTTCTTTTTTTCTCTTTTTTCTCCCCAAATCCCCTCAGTACATAGTTGCATATTTTAGTTGTGGGTCCTTCTAGTTGTGGCATGTGGGACGCCGCCTCAACGTGGCCTGATGAGCAGTGCCATGTCCACATCCTCTGCCTGAGGGGACTCCAGATGGAATAAAAGTTACCTTTCCTCATTTGTCTTACAGGAAGTTCTGGGCTTCTGGATTCAGTAGTTATTAATGGCTTTCATGTTTCCTGAACCCAAACAGAAGTTGTGAGATACCTGTTGTACAGTCCTGTCCAGACCCTCATGTGGAAGGAGACTTTAGCTGGCTGCTCCAAGGAGAGAGGAGATAGGGGTTGACACAAGTGCTGGGGTGAGAGAAGGAGAGTTGCCTAAAGGTAGCAGTGGCTCCAAGACCCTGAGAATCAGGATGTAAAGACGAGTCCCTTAGGTGGAGGGGTTCTGTGTGGAAGTCCTCTAGGAGACAGCACAGTGTTTTAAGGGATGAAGTGATGATGTTGAGATGACTAATCATCAAGCCCCATTGTAGCCACCCCTGACACAGGAAGGGTTAATAATCACTGGAAAAAGCTTGCCCACAAACTGTGACCCGGAGGTGAGAAGGCCGGTTAGCCAATGACGGGTAAGACCTCCATGGGGAGGCAAACTAAGACAGGCATCAGCCGCCTGGGGGCACGGATGGAGAAACGATATCGATATCAGGAGCAGGAGGGGCCATGGCCTGAGAGACCTTGCCTGCTCTGAGATAAAAATATAGGAGCACAGCAATAACATGATAATATCAAAACAGACGCCGAGGGAGGGCTGCTTGAGAAATCACTAAGAATTCTTGGCATTCGCTAATTATTTCATGCAGTACACCTGTGTATGTTTAATAGCTGTAAGCTATGTATATATTGAAAAGCTGGTCATAATAAACTCAGGGTGGCCATGAGCCGTCTCCGCATCTATCCTGATGTGTACATTGGATTGCGACACCGACAACTATTACATCATGAAAAATACAAAACCTGAATCAAGGAAAATAATAAACAACAAAGAACACAAATATTACATTAAGAAAGCAGTGTGGCAACATTATAAGCTTATAATTATAGCGTTATGGTCCAGATCATATCTCACGAATATAGCCTTCTCCTTTTGTCTTCTGTCCTTTGCTCTAAGGATCCTATCACCAGGAGCATTCCCCGCCGCTCTCTGCCTTCCTAAATCCTGTCTCATCAGGACCCACAACATTAACTGACTAATTTGGAAGAAGTATGATTAACAGAATTATTCTAGACCTGAAGTCCCATGTTAACACTACAGCATCAGATTTGATTCTCGATGGACACCAAGTCACTCAAATTCCATCTCAGTTTTTACTCTGTAGATTTGTTCAGTATACGGTTGATTAAAGGACCATTCACCCCAGTTTGGCAGATAATTCAACCAGCCTCCAATCCAAAGTTTGTACAACTTTGATTTGTAGTAATTACCAACAGTAATTACAGAAACAGTGAAGACGTTCATTGCTAATATTGTAACTCTTTGGGAACCTGATATAAATGCAGTTTTAAAAAAACAGGATATTTGAAGATAGTAAGTAGTTCACTTTGTGAAGAACTGACATGTACTTGAGTTTCGATTTTACTGATTTATGCGCAGTAGCTCAGTGAGTTGACAGGTAGTAGGGGGCTAAACAAGAATAAGACTGGAAAATTGGTGACAAAAAGGTCTAGAAGAGACATATGTGGATGGAATTCTAAGAACAGGTATTGAATGGGGTTTATAAATGCTTAACGGAGGATAGGATATCAGAGGGAAGAGAACAAGTGAGGTGTTGGGTATTTATTCCTTTGGCTCTCCGTGCTGAGCCATGTAATGGGCATTCACAATGTTTCTCTTCCTAAGACCACAGCTCTCATAAGGGTGGCCTCTTGTGCTAAGTTCTGATAATGTTACCTACTCTCACTACAGCCCTGGGGGTGATAATAACTCTCTACCAACACTAGTTACAGGATGCTTCACTAACCCTACCCACACTTTTAGAGCCCTATTTATTAGACTCTCCTCAAGTGTCCCATGGTTTCTTGACAACTGACACCTGTTTCTTGAGGGGACCCTGACTAATAGGCCCCACAACAACCCTGATCATAAACTCCATGGGGGTAGGGAATTTACTCTCTTTTCTTTGATGTTGCTATCCCAGCACCTAGAATGATGTCGATTGTACAGTCAGTTTTCAATAAATGTTTGTTAAATGACATATGTTGTGACCACTTTCTCTCCTTCGTGATCTTTATGTTAAAGTCTATTATGATTGATTTAATATAGTTTAACCAGCATTCTTGTGCTTTTATCTGTAATTTGCTAAAGAATGACAAAGAATTATAAACGTCAGCAAAAAGCAAGCAAACTTGTTATGTGCATGGAAATCCAAGCTATTTAACACAAAAATTTATGAAACAATAAGAGAATTCAGCAAGAAGCAATGTTAATGTATAAAACCCAACAGATTTCCTATAAACATCCACCCCTGGAGCACCTGTGCAGACCCTCAGTAGAATCTGCACACTGGGCCCCAGGCGCGCCAGGATGGGGCTCAGGGGTTGGTGGGTCCGGCGGCTGTAAAGGAACAAGGTGGAGGTCCCAGGTTGAAAAATTGTAAAATTATAATTTTACAGCTATGTAATTTAACTACTTCACTCGTCATGTCTTTTTCTTTTTACAAAGTCAATTTTCCTACATAACTCCAAATTTTTTTCACATCATCTAAGTAATATTTTAATATTTTCCATATCCAATCTGTATTCAAATTTCCCCAATTACCTCCAAGTGACTTATGAAAAAAAATGCTATTTTAATCGGGAGCGAATAGCGGACTACACTTTGCATTTGACAGCAGAGCTCAGGCTTAACCCTTAACCTCTTCCGGCTCCGAGGACCCTGGGCGGGAGAGATTTAAGAACACCGTCCTCCCGCGTTCGCGGAAAGGCCAAGAGTGACTTGAAATGTTGACGCGGAGGCCTATGGGAAATGTAGTTTTAAATAGGTGAGGTTCACCGCCTGGACTCTGGGAAGGGTCGCCACGCTCCTATTGCGCATGTGCAGCCGTAGCCTCCCGGTTCGTCTTCTCAGGACTCCAGAGAACCGTTGGGGAACTTTGGGGTGTGCTCGGAAAATGCAGGGTGCACACCTAGGGCGAGGGACTAGCTGGGAAGGGTGTGCCTGTGCTTGGGGATGGGAGCAGGAAGTGTCTGAGACCTCGTCGCCCCCCGCGGCGGTGTATAAACCCGGGCGGGCCGTCAGAGCGGGTAAGGCCGATGGGGGAGACCCCGGCCCTCGGGCTCCCGGGGCGCAGGTGTTCGGGGCGGTCCGGGGTGCCCGAGGATCGTGTGACCAGCCCGCCTGCAGCCCGACCGGAGAGAAGCCCGTGTCGGCGGCGGTGGGTGCGGGAGGGAGGAGTGCGTTTATCAGGCGGACGGTGACCGTGGGTCTGCGGTGGAGCCCGAGCTCTGGAGCACTACAGGCCCGGTCAGTGCCAGCTCTGTCACCTGTAAGCAGGGGCGACAGAAGGAACCTGGGCGAGAGTCAGGGTTCTCATCTATAAATACTAATAATGATTGTTTCACGGCGACGTTTGGAAACATAGATCACTATTTTAGATAAGTGCCAGGTAGGAAGCCTTAAGTAAGTGACAACTGCTGTTATAGTTAGAGGACGCTTTGTTGTTTACTGGATAGTTTAATGTACCCTGACAACCACTTCACCAGAAACCGAGGCTCGGGTCGGTGGCCCCATGTGCTCGAGTCAGGAGCTCCCAGCCAGGGAATTTGGATTCCAGGGCAGGTGTGCTTCGCTTCAGTCTCAGGCTTTGTCTGATGTCACACCTGCCCAAGACTGGCGTTACAGCCTTCACAGCACTTAGGAACATGGCCTGTCCCTGCGTCCCCAGGGATGTAAAGGAAAGGATGTGGATGGAATCCCACCGAGTGTCACATGTATCCTGGGATTTCTAGTGTCTCTTCAGGTCCCTTGGGTCAGACAGAGGCGCCTGGCCCCCTCTGCATTGTCAGGCTTTCTGTCCTTGAAGTCGAATGTTATAATGAATTCCAAGAGTCAGGCCTTTTGCCCCTAAAATGAATTTATTTCTCAGATCCATGTCCCAGTTGCCTTGAAACAAACCAGCCCTTGTGAGGCGGGAAGCAGGGGGCCTCTGTGAGGGAGTCTTAGCTGGAAGAGAGCGGCCCTCTGACCTTAGACCTCTCTCCAGAGCTTCAGAGCAGAGACAAGAGCCCAGAAAGGAGCAGATGCTAGATTTGCAAGATCAGAAGCAGGTCTTGATCCCCCTGCCCAGAATGAACCAGACTTGATGATGATGCCACCTTCAGGAGCCACCACACTGTGTGACAGTGGGGCATCTGGGCCGTCCCTGGGAAGAACAGGTGAGCTGGGGTGGCCCAGGGGCAGGCTGCTCGGGAAAGGCTGCTTTGTTGGAGAGCCGTGAGGGCAGGGTCTGGGGGTAAGGGACAACCAGGCAGAGGGAGGAAGTTCTGTCTCCAGGCCCCTTAAATGGCCCCCGCTATTTACAGATGCGCTGCTGTCACACATGTCCACCACCACATGTGACATTAGTGACGTTATCCTGATGTCACAGGATCCAAGAATGATGATCTGTGAAGAGTTTTCCAAGGTCACCTACTTCTAACCCTTTTGAAAGATTTAAAGACATTGGGCCTGAAAACTTCAGTGACTTGTCCAGGGAAACGCAGTTTGTGACAGTTCACTCTCTCACAGGTAAGTTACCAAAAGCATCTATCAAAAGGGCCTTTTGAGAAATACTTCCCAGCTGAAATGAACAATTAAAAATTCCTGCCTTAAATCACCCTGTCTCTTTTACTAGGCTTTCCGTGGATTGTGTAGACCAGGGGTTAAATAATATTACTGAGAAAAATAGATAAATGATGCATACTGAGTATTTTTCTGCTAAGTTAACTTTAATGAAGGAATAGTGTCCTGTCGTTTGGCGTGCTTTAATTCAACTAATCGGTTGTTTTGATTTCTTTCTGTTATTCAGAAGGACGCGTGCGTTATTGTTAAATCAGTCGAGTAAAGTTTATGTTCACTCAGTAAAAAACTGCAGATTTCAGCTCCATGGTCATTTCAGAATCACACAAAGACAGGTGTTGCTGCCTTTCCATGATCCTTCTTGTGCCTTTTCAAGGCCCAGAGGGCCCTGTGCGTATGGGGAGAATGATCCCCAACTGGGGTGCTGAGATTTGAGGAGGTGAAACTAAGAGCTGTAAGACAGCTAAATCTCAGGACCCCTGTCTTCTTTCTGTCCCCTCAGCTGAACCACAGCCCTCTGTACTCGCCCAGGAGCCACAGAAAGTGCACATCCCTCAGGTGAGCTCTTTATTCATTCCCCACTTTATATTGTAATGGATTTATAAGGTTTAGCAGGATCCATGCATTAAAGGAAAAGGAGAAGTAGAAATAGTAGAAATCAAGTCAGTGTTGAGGAAAAATATACCGTGTTTTACTATTA